TATGCAATTTTTGTTTTTTTTTTTTGCAAAAATACCAAAATATATTACATCTAAAAATTAAGAAATTTACATAAATACTTCACAATTCTTATGTATTTTGATTTTTACATTTATAACATTTTCATATCATAATTCTAAACATAAAACATAATTTTCTTTTTTATTAAATTCTCAAAGGTTTGATTGTGAGTTGTGACATGTAAATACATCGATCCAGCAATTCAAATGTATTACTTGGGTGCTAGATTTTGTAAATAGCAATTTTTCAGGTGCTATCCGAAAAAATTGGATAAAGTGCTATTTTTTATGTGATGTTAAAGTTTTGAGCTTTATAGAAGCAAATATAAAGATAAGTAAATATATAAGAATTTCGTGGTATGTGTGTGGGTGCCCCAACATTTAAAAATAGAAAAACTTACAAACATACCACACAATTCTTATTGAGTTACGTAACAATTAAAGTTTGACATTTGCTATTGAATCCAAAATTGTCTAGGAGACACACCCAAGATATAGAGAAAATATTGCATAAGGACTCTACACGTAGAATTACATGCGGAGTCCAATGAATTAACGTCACGTGACAGTGACAAAATATATATATATATAATATATACTCGCTAACACAAAAGAATATTTTTCCTGTGTTATTGTGTATTATTCAAGTGTTGTCGATGTGTTATTGTATTATTATAACACCGATAATATTTTCAGAACACAATAACACCCAAAAATAATACTATAATACTTGAATACCATGGAATAACATGAGGGAATATTCCCGTGTTACCGGGCCGATTTCTTTTTTCATAGCATCTCCACGTGACGTGATTTCATTGGACTTTGCACGTAACTCTACATGTGGAGTCCTAATGCAATAATGTGGCATTTGAAAGTAAATGACACAGAGCACAATAATGAATAGTAGAAATATCTACAATTTATTCTAGAAATCTCTCTCTTTTTATAAACATAAGGGGGTATATATGTGAAATTATGTTTATACCATCACCTTATTAGGATAACAAATGTTATTTTAATATTTTATAAATATGAGGTCGATATATCCATTGGTGGATACTTTCGAGTAGTACGACTCTGACAACCGGTGTGCTCTTTAAGCAGACCAATCGGTCAAATTGCTGATATTACAGTTTTCGGGGGATAACGAGCTGAAGGATGAAGAGATCAGTCGCCCCATGATTCACTCGGATGGCTTTCTTTGTTCTGATCCCGGTGGATAATAATCGATCGATCGATTCTTCCGCCCGTCATTGTTGTGTCTTCACGAAACAGCGCTGACACATTTTTTGTTTACATTTTAACGCTTCAGTCTTAAAATTACGCATAAAATGTGTATTTCACTTTCAAAAACTTACTAAATAATGATATTTTTGATGCAATGTAAATAATTTGAGTTTCATAAATGTAAATAAAAAATTTCAGGTGTTAGATTTGTAATTATATGAGAATTGATGGAGTTTAATGGTGTGGATTAGATAATGTGAAGGAGATAGATGTTCCTGTATCTTCATCATAAATGTTGTTCATGCCCTGATTGGAAATCTCTCATTTAGAAGGAAAACATTTATTGAGGATCTTTTTGGAAGGAAATTTAGAGCGACTTTCTCTATTAGCATTATGTCATTTATTCTAAATTTTCAAACTTTGACCTCAATTCATTTTAGAATTAGTAAATTGTATATATTTTATAATATCAATCTCTTCCCCTCTCCTCTTGTTTTTCATTTACATATTATTTGTTAGGGATAATTACATGGACAGCATTTGAAGAATTGCTATTTACAAATCTAGCTTCCAAGTATTTTTTTTGAACTATCATTTATGGATGCCACAATCAAATCAAGTGTTTTTTGAATTCTATTGATTTAGATGATGTATTTATGTATTTAACATTAAAAATTGTTATTTATGGAAACGAAGCAACGAGTATGTTCAGAAGTCGTCTCTAAGCAATGAAACTTCTGGGTCTCCTCCACAACAAGGGAAATTAAGCTTGTTCATGATATTTCTACTTATTTGCCTCGAGTATTAGAAGATTATGAGTTCTCTAGTTTCTTAATCTCTGAAGATAATTTTCTAAAAGATAAGGCCGTGGTTAACTATTCTTCTACTTTGCATTCTTCTTCTAAAGGGAGGTCTAAACGTGTTTCTTCTTAATCTTTTTTTTTTTTTTTTTTGTGTCATGTTTTCTTCCATACATAGTTACTTGGAATGTTTGTGGGTTGCATGGTGATTCTAGGATCACTGGTTGCAATCATTTTATAAAAAAATGATAATTTGAATCTTATATGTTTATTGGAAACTAAGCACCCTTACTCAACTTTGTTGGATCATTTATTGTGTAATAAGTTTATGATATTCACTGAAGAATATAGCTGTGATAATTTACATTTGATAAATAGAGGTCGTATTCTAATTTTGTTTATTTTATTGTTTCGGATATACGTCCTAAGCATATTCATGGCATAATTAGGTTTTCTTTTGCTATTAATTTTTTTGATGTGATGGTTTATGGTTATACTAGTTCTTTTAAGAGGAAGGATTTATGGATTTTAATTATAACATTTTCTGAAGGTATTTATGATCCCTAAATTATTTTTGGTGACTTTAATTGTATTTCGATGTTTGAAGAAAAGTTTGGTGGCATTTCTCTTATTCATAGTAAACTATTTAACTCTAGTAATTGTATTTATACAGCCCGATTAATGGACCTCCCTAATTTTTGGCTTTCCTATAATTAGTTTGACGAGCAATTTGGTCGCCCTATTAGATGTTTGTTGGAGAAAGTTTTTGTAACACCAATTGGATCGTTACCTTTCTTGCTAGTTTTTTAAGAATTTTAGAACTATCTACTTCTTACCATTGACATATTAGTGTCCATGTTGGTTTTATTTAGAAGCTTTCTTGTAGATTATTGTATAATAACTATTAGAAATTCAGTCTCAACTTATTTTCTCTTGTTGAATCTTCTTAGAAGTGCCTTGTCAAAGGAAATTCAATGTTTGCTTAATGTAACAGGCTTAAACTTGTTAAGTCTGCTTTGCAGAGCTGGAATTGGTGTCTTCTAATCAAATTTCCAATATTATCAATGGCTTAAATATTAATCAAAGGCACTTTATGTATCTCATTGTGACTAACCCTTTATATAAAGATGTGCTTGCTAACTACTCCTACATACAAGCTCAATTGTTGGTTCCCTCAAATGTGAGTAAATGATTTAGGCAAAGAGTAAAGTGTGCTTGGTTTTCCAAAGGACAACATGATGTAAATTTTCTTTATCATATGATAAATATTAGAAACAACAAGAATATTGTTTATGGTAACTATAATAGTGATTTATGTATTTTTCTTATAATAATATAATATTATCAAGAATGTCATTTTCTTTTTTCTGGTCTTTTGAACAGTTAAAACTCCTTTTAGAATCAATTCTCTAAAGAGATTCCTATCAATCATTTTTTAAATGGTTTTGATTTAGAGAGGCTTGCTATGAATTTCATTGATGGTGATATTAAGCAGACTTCTTTCTCAACTAAGCTGAAGAAAAAAAGACTGACTCTGATGATTTATTGCTTAAGTTTTTAAAGAGACTTGTTTTTTTCTTTGGGCCTGACTTTATTGTCATTCTAAAGCATTTTTTTTCAAATTCACAAAATGCACGTTAGGCTTAATCACAATATATATATATATATATATATATATATATATATATATATTTTACAAACACACAAACGATATATATAATTCTCAAACATTCCAATGCTAAAACCTTCTTAGATTTTAGACCAATTTCTCTTTGTGGTTCAACTTATAAGGTGATGACAAAGTTGCTTGTTGAACATCTCATGCCTCTATTCCTTTCCATTTTGCATCCCGCCCAAGTTGCTTTTCTCGAGGGTAGAGTTACAACAAATAATATCATTCTTGCAGGTGAGCCATTCTATATGTTTAATTCCTTACATTCCAAGAAAGAATATTCTCTTGAAATTGCATTAAAAGAGCTTTTGATAATATTGATATGCATGTCATTTTAGAGAGGATTATTATATCGGATTTTCCTCTCATTTTCTTAAATTATATTAAAGCTTGTATGTTCTTATGCACACTTCTCTGTTATTATAAACAGAAATTTAAATGACGCTTTAATTTATCCTGTAGAATTGGATAAG